ATTACCACATTAGTACCTAGCAAAGTTGAAGGATATGGAGTTCTTGACAGTGTAGAGGTTGGCAAAATTCACACATTGGTGTAGACAGCATGTATGTTAAAGGTCCAGTTTGTGAGATTTAAGTGAAAGGGAACTATTGGCAGAAATTTAATGTAGAATAATCCTCATGATGTTTTCACTATTAAGTTTCATCTAAATTGTATGACTTGTAGTTTTCTTTACCCCAGAAAAGAAACTTTATATTTACATCAAGGGGGTCCTCACTACCGAGGCCGCCATGTTTTTTACATTAGTCCAGACTGGACAAACTAAACACCTTTTGAGTTTTTATGACAACTGAAGCTACAGGTTCTCTTTCATGTTTGGAAGGAGAGGGTGAGGTGAGGGGTGTTAAACTGCAACATGCAACTTCAACACTAGATATCACACAATTCTACACACTGTACCTTTAAAGAAAAAACATTTATTATGAAAATAATCGAAGTATAAACACACAAACTAACTAAAGGTTAACTTACCATATACAGATGTGTGTGTGAGTGAGATGAAAAAAATCTGGGATCAATCCAACAAGTTCTTCACATAACACCTCTACCATCTGATCCTCACTTCTCCCAGCCCTGAGAATAACACTACATCCTCTGTGATATCACCAGGTTTATCCTATATGAATATTCAACTGCATGGCTTTATACGCTGCTGTTGTTTTTTCTGGAGCAACACTAACATCTGATCACAATAATCTGACATGGGTGGCATAACAGATTAATTAACAGTGGGAAAAAAAAACATTTAAAACAAATGAAATGAGGACGCTTGTAGCCAAATGATTCATTGGCATTGGCTAATGAACCAGTGAATTTTCACCAGCTCAGTGATTCATTTTCATGTGGTTAATATCGTAAAAAGGAAGAGAACACTGAGCACTCTGCCAGCGCACGTGGGAAAGAAGCAAAATGAAACCCTCTCCATCCTGACACAGAAATGTGAATGAAGCTCATTGTACTGTTCTTAGATAAAGCTCAATGTTTCACACGTCTCATTGCTGTGTGTAAAAATTTTCAGATTTGTCTGCGCAACACTGGACTGAGGAAATATGGCATCTTGTTGTTTCAGCTCCTTAGAGGCAGTCATAGTACATTGACCTGGTTTTCTCTGAAACTGTTCATCTTAGCAACCACAGAGGAGGGAAAAAAGTGCTTTGGTCCCTTCAGGCTGTCGTGAGCACAGGAAAGAGGAGCAGGAGTGGGCATCAAACTCCTGCTTCTTTATTTTGCTGTGGCACTGCAGCAGGGAAACAAGATAATTAACAGTGACAAAAAGCCATCTAAATAAGGAGACAGCACGGAGGCTTTAGAGGTTTGGGCTCACTAGCCTTGCAGATACTTCTACCCAACCACGCTCCACCCTCGATGAGCCAGTCAAATCTAGCCAATGCCAGAGGCGCTGCAGTGCGAGGTCCACTGACCAGCGCCAACATGACAGATTCAAAATGAGTGAAAAAGAAGCAAACGTCTAGGCCAATTAAAGAGAGGAGTGATGAGACGTTGCTGCCAGGCACAGGCTATACAACCCAGCAACATAAAAGCAGATCAAGTGTCTGACTCTATATTTGTGTCAGTCAACGGAAGATCTGAAGACCACCTGATTTGGCACAGAGCAGAACATCCTGCTGCAGAGACCCAGGGAGCCCATTACTTAGAGGTTATTGAGGATTATCATTTTCGCTTTTCACTGAAAAATATTAAGATTATTCTTAGAGGAGCAGGTCCATTTAGGCCAAATTTGACCCAGTTTTTACATCCCAGGGAAAGTAACTGTGGATGTTTGGTCAGTTTTGACTTTTTCAGAGTTAAAAGTCTGTGCAACAGACACAGGCTGAGAAAATAAAATACTTTGCGCTGTAAAGCCAGACAACATCTTCTGAGATCACTTTTTGCACCAAGATTCAATATGATAAAACTAATCGACGGTTGTCTAAGCTCACTACATCTCAAATGTGTAAAAAATTTAGAAATCTTTATTTAAAAAGTCAGGCATGAGAAATTCCGGAAAATGTATCTATTGCTCGTGTTGCGTCAATTCAAAGGTCTGTTGGTCTTTGTGATGTCTTGAGGGCTAATGTGAGACTGTCTAGGCGTCAGCTCATCTCTTCCAAGGCTTCTGTCAACCATCGTTGCTCTGTGGGAGGATTTGAATAACAAGCTCCCCACAGAAGCAAATGTAACCTGGGCCCATCTCTCATCTCCACACCAGTCTGTTTATATGCAGACTACATATCGGACTGGAGAAGCCAATGGCTTTCTGGAAACAGTCTTGTCACTTGTTGACAAACACACAGTAAATGAATGGGCCCATCAATTTGGTTGGATAAACAGTGTGTGGTAATCCGCATCTAGTAACTGCTGTCCCTGTGTTTTGATTTGATGACGCTGTCAAGTCTCAATATATTCCTCTACAACAAAGCAAATATTTAAAAACTTAACCATGTAGCAGACCTGTATCTATTTTATTTTCTAGCATTTCTTTTATTTCTTTGTATCACTATTTTATATATTTGTTTCTGTCGTCACATGATACACATTGGATGTTGGATAATGAGAGAACTGCTTCAAAGCTAATCTTAATGGAGAATGTTTCCCTGGCCCACAGAGACACCCCCCTGCATCTCACCATGTACAGTTCATGGCCATTATTCCTCTCCTGAGCTGT